TGAAAATGAGAGACAGCAGCAAACTTTGCTGTTTGAAGCCACTGAGGTTTTTGAGATTGTTACTGCGTCATAACCTAGCCTATCCTGGCTGATAAGCCAACTCAAACTAGCCCAAGTGAAAAGGAGAAATCGTATTCTGTGGTTTGGAGCAATTGTGGGGCAGCTCACAGGATGTACAGAAATAGAATCAGGGCCTTAGGGGATTGAAATGATGAGCTAAGAACTATCTGAACACACACATTTTCTTTCTGTTGTTTTCTTTCCCGTCCCTCTCCTTCCATCCTTGTGCCCTTATTTCTCATCACTGCTTATCTTTGTTTTGCTTCATTGTGCACATTGCACTCATCTAGAAAGAAAGAATTCTGCCAGAAGCCCTGCGTTTACTTTGTCCTAATTGAACATGTCCAAGGGAAACTATTTCATTGCTCCCAGTTTCCAGGTGACAACCACTGGAAAATAATCTGATTGGCTCTGAGTAGGCTGTGGATACCTCCCTGAACCACCCACACTGACAGAAGTGTCAGCTTTCCTTGCTAGCATGTGTGCACATGTTTTTGACTACTGTATGTTCAATTTATAGTTCCTTAGAATTTTATTTAAACTAGTTTCCATTTTGTGGATGTCAGTTCAGAAAAAACTAGATAGTAGTTAACCTGCTTAATACCATGTGTAATTAGAGGTGCTAATATTGTCTTCACAGACCCCCTCAGGTAGTCTTGTTGTCTTGTGTGCTATGACTGGCTTCCTCTGTCTCTCCATATTACCTATTACCGTTAGTAGATACCCTTTGAATTTCTTGCATCAGATTAAATAAGATACTGAGTTTGCTAAAATTTGATGTTATTTATTGCATGCCCCAAACACTAAATTTTTTGGGTTTCTATTTGTGAGATGTGCTTTTTTGGTGATGTTATGGAAGTTCTTCCTAATCTGAGAGAAGAAAATACTTTATATTTCTACTTATTTATTTTGTTACTATCTTCTGAGATGGGGCCTCACTATGCTATGTTGCCCAGCCTAGAGTGCAGTGGCTATTTATGGGTGCAACCACAGTGCACTGCAGCCTCAAATTCTAGGCCTCCAGTAATATAACTTTATTTTTAGATAAGAAATGCTGCACTGTAATGCTGGGAAAGAGAAGCCATTGAGCCTTGCAATAAGCCAGTTCTCCTTCAAAATATTAATTAAGCCTGAGTCTGTTATAGGTGTTTCCTTTAACTTACTGATTTTTCTTGTTATCTCACTTAATGATGTGGATGGAAGCATCTTTGGTAAGTAGAAAACTGCTCTGTATTGTTCTTTACTCAGAAGAACTGTAAATCTTACCTTGACTTTTGTGCTAGCAAGCAGCAGAACTGCTACAATTAATCAGAGGTGGTGTCTGGGCAAGCAGCTAAAACTTTAGAACCTTGCTACTCACGCTGTGGTCTGTGGTCTAGACTTGGTGTCCACTGGGAGCTTGTTGGAATTAGCCTAGCCCCATGGAATCTGTGGTTTAACAAGGGCCTCAGGTGATCTACAAGCATTTAAAAGTTTGAGAAACACTGCTCTAAAGATTAGAATCAGCTTCCTGGTAAGGTTTGGGGAGCCTAGACTGTTTGGGCTTCGAATGTAACTGACATCTTCGGGAAGACGGGAAATGCCTGCGTTCCCAAAGATGTCAGGTATATTCAAAAGTTGTATCACCTGACACTTACATGATACAATGTTCACATCCTCTGACCATGACCTTTTGGGGGAGACATTGCTAATTGCTTATGTCATGCTTTCCACCAAGCTTCTTCAGGATGCTTCTCTACCCTGCAGTCCAGACAGCTTTTATGGAAGCCTAAGAGTTGGCCTGAGGCTGGGAACATTGGCTTATGCCCTGCAATCCCAGAGCTTTGGGAGGCTGAAGCGGGAAGATTGCCTGAGCCCAGGAGTACTAGACCAGCCTAGGCAACATGGCAAGACTCCTGTCTCTAAAAAAGTAAGAATTAGCTGGGCATGATGGCACATGCCTGTCGTCCCTGCTACTTTGAGTCCAGGAGGTTGAGGCTGCAATGAGCCATATTTGTGCCATTGTACTGCAGCCTGGGTGACAAAGCAAGACCCTGCTTCAAAAAAAAAAAAAAAAAAAAGTTGGCCTGAGAATTAAAAATGATTTATCATTCCTTCCTGAAGACCAGTTTGCTAGGCAGTACCCAACAGGCAAAACAGACCAAAGAGAAGTCTAGGTTAGGGAATCTTGTGGGTGTGGGTTTCAGCTGGTTTCTTGGCAAAGTAACAAAGTCAGGGTCATGAGTTAGACCCAGTAACAAACCAAGTAATCTGTTAATCCATTCCTCCCAGTTTTGCTCTTTCCCATAATTTGTGCTTAAGTCTTACTAACTGATTTTGATATTTGTTAACCGTTATCTTGATGTCACTAACCATCTTTATTCCTTTGAATTAACTTACTTTCGGTCTTGTTGGGGCACTTTGGGAAGGATTGCCTTATTTAATGGATCCATGTTCAAATGTTTTTGTTTGTTTGATTTTAAACAGATCGGGAGGGTCTCTGTCGCCCAGGCTGGAGTCAAATGGTACAATCATGGTTCCTTGCAGCCTCGAATTCCTGGGCTCAAGCAATCCCCCTGCCTCAGCCTCCCAAGTAGCCGGGACTAAAGTCACGTGCCGTCACACCTGGCTAGTTTTTAAATTTTTTTTGTAGAGACCATGTCTTGGCTGGTCAGGCTGGTCTTGAACTCCTCGCCTCAAGTGATCCTCCCGCCTCAGTCTCTGATGTGTTGGGATTAGGGGCTTGAACCACCATGCTCGATAACACTGGTTGTCTTCGTCTTTATCTGGGCCCTTGCAAAGGGGGAAGGAAAAACGCCTTCTGTTCAGTGACCTTAGACTGAATACTTTTCAAGGTCAGCTGTTAGTCCAAATTGTTACTTCACCTAAGGAAATTGAGACACTGGATTAGAATCTACTCCCATTGCCTTTCTGAATGGGCTTTACCCTTTATTGCTCCCCATGGTTACTAAGTATATAGGATCTGAATCGGCTTACTAAGTTCCAATGACAGTTCCACTATTTCTTGGCATGTGACTTAGGGCAACTTATCTTTTTCTTTTTCTTTTTTTTTTTTTTTTTGCTTCTGTAATATGAAGTGATTCTAGAGCCTAATTCTCAGGGTTGAATTTTCAGGGGGGTTCCCAAGATAAATGAGAATTACATAAGATCTAGCACAGTACCTGAAATGTAAGGAGAATGCACTTACTTACCAGTGTCCACCCATTTCATTATGGTCATTATCTTTAGGAAGACTACGGTTATTTTGGAAGTAGGGAGTTGGCCAAGGTTCACCAGATAAAATTGCAGCTACTTTTTTTGTTGTTTTGAGACAAGGTCTTGCTCTGTCATCCAGGCTGGAGTGTAGTGGCACAGTCGGAGCTCGCTGTACCTCAACCTCCCGAGTTCAAGAAATCCTCCCACCTCAGTCTCCTGAGTAGCTGGGATCACAGGCGAGCCTTACCACAGCTGGCTAATTTTGGTGCTTTGTGTAGAGACAGGGTTTCGCCATGTTGCCCAGGTTGGTCTTGAACACTTGAGCTCAAGTGGTCCGCCTACCTCAGCTTCCCAAAGTGCTGTGATTACAGGCGGTGAGCCCCTGTATTTGGCCAAAGCAGCCACAATTTTTAAAAAGTTTCCCTCCTCTAGTCATACTATACCTCTTCATTGCCAGGTAAAATTGTTCTGAGTATATCCGAATCACCAGTTTGATTAAATCTCAGGGTAATTCCCCCTCAAACTCTGCCACGTTTAATATAAACCAACATAGTTTGAATAAGTGTAATTAACACTAAAACACATTTTCTATTGATCAGAATTCAGGCTTTATTATTGAGCAATGAAAAGAGCCAAAACTTAATTCCAAGCATGTGTAGTTGAAGTTTGCAAAGCGGAATGTTGTTCACAAAACACATTCAATGTTTAAACACTGTTTATTTGAAGAACAGAATATATTTAAAATTGTATGCTTCTAAAAAGCCCATTTCCCTCCAAGTCTAAACTTTGTAGTTTAATATTAAGCAATAACGTTATTTTGTACAATCTAGTTAAACAAGCAGAATAACACTTGGCAGAATAAAAAAATTGCATAGACGTATGCAATTTTCCAAGATAGCATTCTTTAAATTCAGTTTTCAGCTTCCAAAGATTGGTTGCCCATAATAGACTTAAATATATAATGATGGCTAAAAAAAAAAAAAGTATACAACAATGTAAATAATGAAACATAAGTCCACTCTCAGTCTCATAAAAGGTGGGAGTAAGGATGCTAAATGTAGCTTCTTTTGTTCTATTTCCCTTTATCATGCAATCTGTTTCTTTGATCTGCCTTAGGGTTACCCATTTAAGTTAGAGGTTTGTAATGCAATGGTGGGAATGAAAATTGATCAAATATGCACCTTGTCATTTCCTTACAAATTGCGGCTGGAAAGTTCCACAAAAGGGGGTAGGCATGAAGAAAAGTAAAATCAAATCAGAACCTCTTCAGGGGTGTTTGTGTTTTGATATGGCAGAAAAGATACAAATCCCACCAGGAAATGCAGCAGTTCAAAAAAAGGGTAATGGGCTAACAAGGTATTATTGCCAGCAAGGGATGGAATGAGGAACAGGCTGAAAAGTTTTTGGATTATATAGCACCTAGAGTCTCTGATTTTAGGGAATTCTTGTTAATCAAATATACACTAAACTTCCAAGGGAAAATCTTCCAGGTAGCCTAAGCTTGCTTTTCTGGAGTGATGAGATGCATAGCTACTGTGATTTGTTTTAAAACAGACTGGGTTTATACAAGTGAGAAAGACGAGGAAAGAGAAAGATTTTAGTCTGTTTTGCAGAAGCCATTTTATCTGCATGCACATGGATCAGTATTTCTGATTCCCTATACCCCAGGAAGGGCAAAAACCCAAAGAAACGTGTTAGCAAAATTGGCTGACTCTGTCATATTGCTATGGACATTGATTTTTGTGTTTCAATTTTTTAATAAGTAAAAATGATAATTTTTACTTGTTAGAGATCATCAACTTATCAGTTATGATGAATCTTGCTTGGAGGACACATTGGAGAAAGGCCTATTAAGGGATGGTGAACTCGCATATGTACCTCTTGCTGCTGCGACAGACCTCATCACTCCACTTGCCCTGAGCTGATTGAGAGAACAGGACACAGTTTTCCTGCTTGCCACCGTTAGGCTGTGCACTGTCCCAGTTGAGGAAGGAGATAGCGATTCCATTGACGTCAACAAACTTGCCTTCCGTCACCATGTCATTGATGCCTAGCCAAAAGTCATTGACACCCGGCAGGCTCCTTTTACCATAGTCTCGGAGGGCGTTGATTTCGTCGGAGTTCCTGGGGATAACCAGGATTCCTCCTTTGGAAATGCAGTCTTCATTGGCGTCGTGGAAATGCTTCAAGCCTTCTGAAGCAAGGTAGCATTTCTTGTGAACTTTAGTGCCTCGGAGACAGACTGTGAAGATGTGAAATTAAACATTAAGATGCATTTTGAGTGTATTATGACTAGAGCTGGACCTGGCAAATAGCCATAAGTATTTGTGGAATGAAGTATGATAATGATGAGACAACTATTACAATTTTCTATGTGCCAGACAACATGTTAAGCACTTTACATAAATTAAGTCACATAATCTTGACAACCCCATGAAGTTGTATTTTATTTACCCCTATTTTTACATATCAGGATATTTAGACTTAGAGAAGTTGTTACTTTGTGACACCTTTAGCATTTTTTTAAACGAAGTAATTTTTGCAGCATGTGAGATCACAGCTACCCAAACGCAGATCTGCCCTATCCCAAGACATGGCCTTTAAACCTCATGCTGTTCTGATATATACATGCTTGCTACTCTGTGTAGCTCCATTTATGTGCTGGATTTCTTTGGGAGTTTTGGAACTAGATGATATTTAATACTTACTCTAAAAAAATGCTTGGTAGGGTGGCTTATGCCTATAATCCCAGCACTTTGGGAGGCAAAGGTGGGCGGATCACAAGATCAAGAGTTCAAGACCAGTCTGGCCAACATAGTGAAACCCCGTCTCTACTAAAAACAAAAAATTAGCTGGATGTGGTGGTGTGTGCCTATAATCTCAGCTACTCAGGAGGCTGAGGCAGGAGAATCATGTGAACCCAGGAGGCAGAGGTTGCAATGAGCCGAGATTGTGCCATTATACTCCAGCCCAGGCGACAATGTGAGAATCTGTCTCAAAAATAAATAAAATTCTAGGTTTGCATGTGGAGAGACAGTGGTTTTCTTAAGCAGATAACTGAGCCTTGGTAATATTGTTTAGATTATTCAGGATAAACCAAACATATAGTTCTAGGGCATTAGCATTGGAGAGTCAGACCTCAGAGACATAGTGCCTGGGTTTAGGTCTCATCTCTGACATTTAACTAGCTGTGTATATCTTGAGCAAATTACTTACCTTCTTTGTGCCTCAGTTTCCTCATCTGTAAAATTAGAATCATAATAGCTTATGTTGCTGGAGGATTAATGGATTTGTGTTTATAAAGAAAAACTCACCTTCTGCTGTAACCATTTTACCGTCTTTTAACTTTCTAATACTGTTCCCCTGGAAACCTGATAAAGGGAGTATGTCGCCGTTGTTACTAGGCAACATTACTTATGGTAAAAATGACCCAGATTGGTAACATGCATCTGGCCTGGGAGTTACAAATACTTGATGGAAAGCCATCACTTCAGTCTTCCCTGAAGGCAGTAACTTGTAATGAGGCAGGTCTCTTGTGAGGACCCTCAACACCCTGATTTTGAAATTGCTGCAAAGGATATTAGCTCCTGGGGGGATGAGCCTTGTAAACCAGGGCTGTTCCTGAACCTGCCCAGTGTGGCTCACTTCCTCACACCTTGGAGAATAGCTCCTGCACAGTAGCGCATGTGGCTGCATAGCTGTGGGGAGGAACACTGGCGCTGCCCTGTTGGCACAAGCTGCGGTTCTAACCCATGTCCTTCCAGCATCTTAGGCTGGGTGTGGCCTGAGTGAGTCCTGGTGGCCTGATAGGCACTTAGCTGTCATCCAATAAATGTTAATCATTTTAGTCATTTCATAATTGCTTCATTCTGTTTCACTACCCTTTAGAGAATAACTATGGACTGACTTTTCCAATGTATTACTGAACTACTTATTTTTATTTCCATACCGCTCATATATATAGGAGAATGGGGTTATAAATGAAGTTGATTTCCTAAAACAATCATCTCCCAGCATTGGGGCCCTCTTATTGGCCACATTGTTGATTTGTCAATGTTTCTCTTAAAAAGATGTCCCCCAGAAATTGATCCAGAAATTTTCCTGTCTCCTCTGGGACAAGGCATTGAGGAGGTCCGCACCTTACCTGTCTGCAGGGCTTGGATTTCCTTCAAGGCATTGACTTCTGTCCAGAGCTTTTCAATTTGAGTCTTCAGATCTCCATTCTTGTCTGGGGAAAATTTTAAGGTGGAATAGGGTAGGTGGATGAAAAGCATATGATTAAAATAAAATCAAGCTTTGGAATGTAGGACCCAAGGTGATAGTGGTTTTGGTGAACCTGAGCCCAGTGTATACAAAAAAATAATGCATGAAAATAACTTGGGGCTGGCGCAGAGGCTCACACCTGTAATCCCAGCACTTGGGGAGGCCAAGGTGGGTGAATCGCTTGAGGCCGGAAGTTCGGGACCTGCTGGGGCCAATATAGCAAAACCCTGTCTCCTACTGAAAGTACAAAAATTAGCTAGGCATGGTGTTGAGTGCCTGTAATTCCCACTATTTGGGAAGCTGAGGCATGAGAATTGCTTGAACTTGTGAGGTGGAGGTTGCAGTGAGCCGAGATCATGCCATTGCACTCCAGTCTTGGTAAGGGAGTAAGACTCTGTTTTCCCCTCTCCCCCTCCACCCCCAAAAAAAAAAAAAAAAAATGAAAAGAAGGAAAGGAGGAAGGGAAAAAAAGAAAAAGAAAATGACTTGGACAAGAAGATTCCTAAGAGCTTCATGGTGATCATAATACTAACAGGTCTTTCTGTGAGATTGAGGCTTCTTCTGTCTCTCCAGTCCCATCCTGTGACTTTAGGCTTGTTGACTTTCAGGATCATCTGAGAATGAGCTCGATCTTACCTTTGCTGTGTGTTCCTTCTGCTAGGATCACTCTTGATCCAATGCTTTCCTGTATTCTTAGCAAGCTTAAATATCTGCTCTTCTGAGAAGGCTTTCGGGGTTATCCTGTAATTCAGTATCCCTTCTGCTAATCTCTTTGAAACTGATTTTTCTTCATTCTCTAGTCTCGGTTCACATTTTTATTCCATAGTTGATAGAATATTCTCTATATTTTCTATTCTCTATTTTACCTCAGTTCATCTGCCTTGTTATTCTTGATGCTTCTGATGCTTACCATGATGCTTGGCACATAATAGGTGTTCATAATATTGTCTAGTGAATATATACTTTATGGTACATAAAATTGTTATTTTTCACTTGCTCTTCAAACATAGCTATGAAGGGAGAAAAATTAGATTCCTATTGAAGAATGAGGACAAATCCAATGGGAGTGACTCAGAAGATACATGGCAGAACTCAGACTTATTTGGGTCCCCAAGTCCCCTGTCCCCAGTGTTCCTACTCAACCCATGCCTCAGGTATGGTGGCCCCTAGCAGGGTTAAGTGCTAAAGGCTCATGGAGAAATTAGGTATTAGCAACTTAAGTCTTGTATGTTCCTGGATGAGGCTAAAGGATCTTTATGGCTGTCCTTGACCAATCTTGGCTATAAGTAAGTGGCAGAAAACAAGCAACCTTTGGTTAAACTGAAATTTCAGGCCTAATAAGAATTCTCTTAGAAGACTGGCAGCTTGTGAGGTCTTCAAAAGCAGGAATTATAAATCATAATAAAAATTACTGAAAGCCTCCACATACTGTTTGTCAGAGATCAATTCTTTCAGTAGTGTTTTGAGAGAGACACTATCACTGTTTCCATTCTACAGAAGAAATAGAGTCCCAGAAAGCTGAATTCACTTGCTGAAGGTCACCCAGCTAGTAAGACGCAGAATTGGGATTTGAATTTGCCCAGGTCCAGGTCTGTTCTCTTTTCCATCCCTCTTACCTGCTTCTGCACAGTGATTGCCTCAACCTTCTTGGTCCCGAGCACATGGCCCCAGACAGAGAAGATACTTAAAGCTTGCTATGAACTGTCCCCAACTGCTGCTTTGTGGGGATGCCGTAGAGGCAGTCTATGTTCTGTACCGGATTTTTCAGGGCAGTCTAAAATTCACATGTGCTAATTCACTGTCCCCTTAAATGTGCTTCGTAAGCCAGATGTTTCATTTGGGTTAGGAAACTGTCTTCTGGAATATCCAGGGGTAGCCCCTGCCTCTGTTTTACTTAATGCTACACATCAGTTCTCAAAGCACCCCATAGCTCAGTTCAGAAATACTATAACCCAAAGATTTTCATCTATGTAACCATTTAATCCAGAAAAAATGTAAGGGTGCATTCAGAATGCAAATTCATCAGCTGGTGGGGGCCGGGCTTGCAAAGACTAAAGACTTGCTTCTAAGGTATAAGCTGTCACCCCTACAAATGTCATCCCCCATCCCTCTCAGCTTCCTGCTCCATTCTCCTTAAATAAGTGATCTCCACTGGGAGATTGTAAACATTGTAATTTACATGAAGACACATGAATTGATATTAGGCTTCTGGGAGATGGTTATGAAATTCATTATCCAGGGATTGGCTGTAGCTTCCATCCTTTGTAGCTGATGTAGATGTCTTTTGTGTACAACAAAGGGAATATGTGGAACAACTACTGACCTGTAAAAGTCATATTTTATTCATGAATGCAACACATAAATAGACCTATGAAGCAAGTGCCAGAGAGATCTTGTGTTAGAAGCTAAATTCTTCAGTTGCTATTTTGAGTCCCCCAGAAGGCTCCCTTTCATTTTATTGTTGCTCTCCAGAAGTAGACACAGTGTAGAAACACAAGTCATTCCCAGAAGACATGGCCAGTAAAACCATTACAGGATGTTGGGTTGTCAAAGTGTGTGGGACTGGCCACTCCCATACACAGAAGACAGGAGGATGGATTGGTGTTATCATTTGGAGAGACAATTTGAAAGTATAATTAACCTGCAATTTTACTGCTGGAGGCTGGGCGCGGTGGC